TCACAGCAAAATATTAAGCCAATCAGAACAGCTAATAAAAAACAAATGAGCAAAAATCTAACACATAGAATATAGTGATAGAATATAAATTCAACAGTATGCTATATTGTGAAAATTCCCGAAGCGTACCAAATAACTAGTCAAATGGTAGTTATAAGTATAGTTCGAACATTTTTTTTTTTTCTATTGAGAAACAATATGTTATTTAAGAGTTTATAATGTGTGTTCATATATGAAGTGTAGTTGTATATATATAGTGGTAAATACTAAACAACCGTTGAAAAAAACCGTAACTAGGTGTTGTAATTTTTATAATTATTATTATTATTATTATTATTATTATTATTATTGTTATTGTTATAGCCCGTATAGCCTGTTTAGCCCAAAGCCCGCTAGGTTTAGTGTTCGGTCCTTTTTTGGTTGCCCGTTTAAACCCGGGCCCGGACCGTTTAGCCCGAAGCCCGCTAGGGCTAGCCCGAAACCGTTAGGGCTAGCCCGTTTAACATCTCTAAACCCATGTGGTGCACATAACTGATAATAAATTACATTATATTCGTTTCAAAATATGTATCATTTCTAAATTTTTATTCAGAAAATCGATTTGACTATATGTGATTGCATAAAATAGTTATTTTGATAAAATGTTATCATATATTTAACAACCTATTTGAATAATAAGTATAAATATTAAATTTATATTGTTTCATTACTTGAAATAATTTATTATTGTATAAACTATTCAAATAAAAAAAATTAAGTAGTTGAATAATTTATTAAGCTATAAATAATTAACTATTTCGTTTACGTCCAAGTTAATATTGACCCGTAAGTTATTGAGTAATATATTAAATTATAAATAATTGACTATTTCGTTTACGTCCAAGTTAATATTGACCCGTAATTATGAATAATTATTTTTTAAAAAAATTTAAATAAAAATCTTTTTATTTTTTTTCAATATATTATATACGAAATTAAACAATGCAACTAATAAAGGTAATAACTGCAAGTTTTGTCAATATATTATATTACAAATTTAAATCATACAACTAATAAAAGTAATAGCCGCAATATTTGACCAAAATGATTCGGTACATTAATTTAGGCGGGATTTTTTAAATTTTGGCAAAAAATATTACTCAATATAATAAATACTTTAGGCGAGAAATCAAATGTTTTTTTTTTGCTGATTTTTAGTTGCTATTTCAAGTAAATATTATTACCTCTTTATATATTATATAATAGATTTATGTGAAGTAAATTTGTTAAGTAGATAAATACAAATATCTTAGAGATTTAGGTTATTAATTTCCTAATAAAAAATCCGACTTTTAGTTAATAATAATACTATAAATAAAGATCATGCAATCCCCATTGATAGTTAGGACGAATGTTAGGAAGTAGGTTTACTTTGTTACGACACTATTCAGAACACTAATTAGAAGTAAATAATATTTAGTTTGTTAATTTGTTAATTCGATTACTACAAATATTGTTGGATATTCACTCTTAATAAAAATAGTGGACTTTTGCACACTTTTACTTTCGTAGGATACTATATCACAATTTCCATGAAATTTATAAAAGTTAATTATTTTTTATATTAAATCTAATAATTATAATTGTTAATGGGGTTCCGTATAAGATTGATTTATTTACCTTCGGATGGATAGGAGCTTGATTGAATCCAAAGTGCAAATTAGTATAAGCTGGTTCATTCCTTACTGCTTCCGCACATTTCGGCTGAAGAGTTTTCCTTCTGCCCGGATCTGATGCCATGAAATCTATATTTAAAAATAATATTTTATTAAGATATCTACAAATATTTGACAAAAAGATCTGACCAAATCTTGAAAAAATCGTATTATAGAAATAAATAACTACAAAAAGGGCTGAAATCAATAACTAAAATATTCCAAAATTTTGAATTGGTTGCACGGAGGGGATATTCAATTTTTTTGCCAAAAATCTTGCTCATTATAGTAAACTTTAGGAGGGAATTGAATTTTTTTTTTGTTGATTTTTTAATTGATTTTTTCAAACAAACTAGTGCATATCCCGTGCGATGCACGAGGTATATGAATTTGAAAAATATTATAATTTGACATGCATTAGGATATATGAGAGTTTAATACATACGAACAATATTCAATCATAAAATGTTCGTCACGAAAAAATCATATATTAATAAAAACCTCTTTGAACACAACATTAGGAGTTTGATTATTAGGTAACTCGTTGTGAGAAGCACGGCCCGACGCCGGCTGCAGAAAGGGTTGTAGAAATTGGGCCTCACTTAACTGGGCTCCCTTACTGGACTTCTCTCCTGGGCTGAGAATGTTGATTGTTGTTGCCGAAAAAATTGCCCCACACTGTATTTGAGCCTTTAGTTATTTACATAATCCTAGCTTAGTTGATCAATAAACAAATATATAACTCAAAATATATTTTTCTTAAAGAGGGGCAGTTATGAAATTTTTCCATATATATTAAATAGATTAATTCGGCCTATTTACTTTGGCCCGCCCAGCCACTCTATATAATTTAGTTTTTTGCCCAAATCATCTTAATATACCATCTCAACACCCCAACTACCCTCACTAATTAAATACACAATCAATCTTTTAACCCTCACTAATTAAATACACAGGACACTAAAATTTTTTTTTTGGTACAAACACGCCACTAAATTAAATACACACACTCAAATCTGACGAAAAAAAAAGAAGTAAAATTCTCTCTCCTCTCATCACTTATTCTCTTCATCTTCTTCATCGCGTAGCAAAGTTTTTCTTTTTTTTTTAATCTTTCATCTGTGAATTGATGACCAGTAGATGTAACACGCAAATCTTTTCTCATAGCCAATAACACTCACAAGAAATTTTCCAAATACAAAAATCCCAAAAAATTTCAAAAGTTCCAGAAATTTTCTGTCCATGCTCCTCCGCCCCGATCTGATCGTCTTCTCCGTCCTCCCGTTATTCTCCTCCTCCGCCCATCCTAGCCGCTCATCTTCACAATCCTTGATTTGATCATGCTCCTCCCTTTTTTTTTTTTTTGATGGGCCAGCCCGCCTAGCCCGCGGCTCGTGGCGAAGAAGTTCGTTCGGGGTTACGATTCCGACGGGTAAAACCACGAGGCCGATGGATGGATCTCGGTTGGGCCCAAGTAAATTATAAAAAAATGGTAAAATAATATATTTATTTGTATAATTACATAGGTATTTATGACTCAATTCTGTATGAATGATCAATTTGATAAACTAAAGGTTTCATATCATGATACAAAAACCAAACGAAATATCACCTGGAAAAAGATTTAGGGTTTTTGGTGTAACATTAATTGTGTGTTGTAGATCTGAGAAACCGCACGTCTACTTGTTTGTATTGCCCTCTGTTGCTGGGGGTGAGTTGTCTTGATATGAGATTATTTAAATTTAGTGGTAGTATATATGACTATGAGATTTTTTCATGATATGAGATTTTTTTTATATATATATAGATTTATGTTCATTGATGCTATTTAAATTTTGAATGTGATATTTGTTGATAACAACAGATTAAAAAATGCCTACAACTTTATCTTTTTTACATGTTGAATTTGAAAATTAACAGATTCCTTCATAATACGAATACAAAAAAAGTGAAACACTATATGACTATAATGCAATCATTTAAGGATAAACCGATGCAATATGGGATAGAACTTGTACAGATTGTATTCCATGTAAAATGGGAGTCTTTTCAATTATTCAGCCACTAAATTTGTACATACTGAGCAAATAAACGATTTTATAGGGATTTTTATGTGCTATTCAAATTTTGAAATGAATTGATTACACGCATATTTTGTTGATAATAAACGGATTTAACGGGCTTTAATAATTTACAGGACATCTGTAAAGCATTTAATGTAGACATGTTTCAACATAGATAAAACAGGCTATTAATAGAAAAAATTCTTATGCGATTTTTAATGAATAAAAATGGAAGGATAAAGAAAATAAATTATATCACAATAAAACTGCGATTTTTAATGAGCAAAAAACAGAAGGATAAAGAAAACTAATTATTGCGTTATCAATTATGTCTGAAAATCTATATTTAGTAGACATTAAATGTATTTGGCGGGAAAAACTTGCTAAAATAGTTAAATGGTTAATCTTTTAATATTATGATATATATCATTCCCTCTTTATATATTAATAGATCGATTAATAAACTTATTTTTTAAATTTCACCAAAACAGATATAACCCGCATCTCATGAGAGCATCTCCAATGCTCAATGTTGTAGTACCAAATTACATTCCAAATCAACACATTTATTAATATTACAACTTTTCATCCCCCAATGTACAATGTGATCACAAATATTGTGATGATGTAGACATAATTAATGTCTACAATGTAGAGAAGAATGTGGTTCATCCATATTCTCCTCTACACTCTAATTAGCCAATGAAGAGAAGAGAGAGAATTACTATTATCATTTTTAAGCTATTTAATTATTTGATTAATTTTATTAATTCATATTAAAATTTTAATATTTAATAAATAAATAATATTATAATTTGACTACACGAGAAATGCTATGGAGCCAATGGTTGGCTCTTTTATGGAGCCAACCATCAATATTATAGTGCCACGTAGACCATGTGAAAAAATAATTAGCTACACATGGCCTACGTGGCCCTATAACATTGGTGGTTGGCTCCATAAAGGAGCCAACCATTGGCTCAGCCAACCATTGGCTCCATAGCATTTCTGTTGATTACATTGTGCATTGAAGATGATTTTTTAATTTAATAGTTGTGAACTCAATATTTGTCCTACATGGTTCACAATCTACTTAATTTTTTGACATTTGTCAAAATTTATCCTACTATAATATTAGAGCATTGGAGATGCTCTGAGTTACGTACTAGTTTAAGTATATAATGATATTAAGTTAAAATTGAGTTAAATTTGAGCTAGATTTTTTTTTTTTGTAATGGTTGGTATGGTATCCCATCACGCTAGAAATTCAATCAAAACTAAAAAATAACTCATTTCGAAGCAAAGTCACAATCCAAGAGCAAGCGTGAGCTCTAGAGGAAGTTAGCCGTCATTCGTGCTTGTGAGCGTTAGAAAGACAAAGTAGAGGCAAAGAGTAGAAGAAGTGATTTGCAGAGTTATTAACCCTTGATAATCTATCTTGCTTGCCTCCATCCATGTCTGTAAGTGTAATGCTCATGAGCTACAGTGGCAACATTTACACTTTCATTTTTCATTAGCTACTTTTTCTTTTCTTTTCTTTTCTTTTTCGTTGATTTGCTCAGAGTTGAATCATATGAATTTGTGAAGGGCAAGGCATGGCGGATCATTCCAAGGCCTCTAATGGAAACAGTCCTCAACAACCACGCTCAGCACCACCGCGTGCCTCAACCTCTCATCCTCCACGGCCCCCGCGGCGTCGGCAAAACCACCCTTATCCTCGAACGTAATTTAGCTTTTAATCTCATCTCTCTCTCTCTACACAGGCACACACGAACACTTTGTTTTTATGTGTGTGAGAATGTTTGCTTATGTAATTGTACGACTAAATGAGAGAGTGTGTGATTGTGCTTCCCTCCACTTTGTGGGTTTACATTTTATGTGTGATTTATAGAATGATAATGGTTTGAAAAGCCAATATTTCTAGTTATATTGAATTTGTGAAAGAGGGCACGCTGAAAGATGTTAGATAATAGGGTTAAGAGTATCTTTCCATATCCATATTAAAGAACAATGTTCTCTGTTATGATTGGACATATACAAATTCTGGGATGAATGTGCGCAACCAACGTTAATAGCGAGTCTAAACCTGACTTTGTTAACTTTATGGATTTTGGTGAGTGGCCATTGAAGATTTTACTGTAGCAAACTAACTTTACTTGGCCATTTGCACAAATCTGATTGGGGGAATTCTCTATGGAGCTGATGTTAGTTTCATAGATAGTTAACTGCGTCACTTCAAACATGTATTCGATGGCCATATAGTGGGTCAGGGCATTGGTATACTTCATGCTCTGATTATTCAATGCATATAATATAGCATAATTTCCAATACTGTTCTGTTTGGTTGTTCCGTTTATCTGGAGTGCCCAATTCCAGTTTTGTTTTGTTGGTTTTGCGGAAATGATCGATTCGAAATATGACATCCCTGATTTTGTTAAATGCCCGTCCGTTTAATCTTGATCTACTAATTGTATTTATTTGATTCTTTTTTCACTTCTACAGGTCTGTTTGAGAAATGGAACACCGACCCACACATCACCGGTTATGTTGACTTTGCCGAGTCGATAGAGGATTATCATCCAAAGCATGGTCACTCCTACCCATGGACATCATGGACAATGTGTCCATCACCTAAACTTGTTACTCTTGAGGCTCAGCTTGAAAGCTGCCTCGAGGCCATGACTAAAAGGGCCATCAAGCTTGGGACCATTAGCTCGCACCAAATATTCACCACTCTCATCAAATGGCACAGTCCGACCACTGCACTTAACAAAATATTGAACGTTGATTCGGGTTCCAAAATGCATTTAATGGCAAAGAAGAACAGGTTTTCCACATCAAATCTGTGGGAGACTGCTGTGTTTAGGTTTTGTGCTGGACTGAGTGAACAAGAGTTAGATGGGGTTTTAGATAAGAGAATTACTGTGGAGGAGGGATCACATCACAAGGAGGCCATGGCGGCTCTAAAATTGGCTAAAGAAGTGATTAGAGTTCAAGGGAAGTGGAGAGAGAATGCAATTCGAGATTTGAACAGTAAGGGTGGATTCTCAAGGTCCCTGGCAAATTCGGCCACTGATTGGCCTTGTTTGTTGCTTGAAATATTGTCTTTGGCAGCTGAAATGGACTATTTCCAGGTATCTAATTCATACAGTCAACACGTTAGTTTTGCATGAAGTACTGAATCTATTGTTTTCTGGAGTCTATTTGTTTTTTTTTTTTGTTGGATTTTCTATGTCTCTTGGAATTATTTATTGGTTTTTGTTTACCTAAGTAGGTGCTATCTGTAATGCCAAATGTGTATATTTATCTTTGTCTTTGTAGATTCAGAAACGTGTTTAATTTAGCTAGAGGGGGCAAGATCAATAGCTCGGTTACATACTTGCATCATAATAAATGAAATGCTTATGCAATGTCCATTTTTTAAGATTATGCTGGGATATAATAATCTTAAGTATTTCATTCATCTCTTCTTTTCTTTTTTTTCTGGGTGTGATAAAATAAGTAGCCGAAGCTCGTGATAAACAACATTGAGCTTTTGAAGAATGCTGTTACAGAGGATGATAGAAAAATATGTGGATCCATGTACCATGATAGTCTGATTTGGAGAATAATAGCTTTGGGTGCAAATGAGAGATGTCTCCCTGTTGTGCTTGTGACATCTGACAGGTAATTGCTAATGTCTTCCTTGGTTCAAAATAAATTTGTGGAAGCCCAACAATTTGGCTAGGCTGCAAATGCCTTCATATGAATCATATTTCCCTAAAATATATAACTCCTCTTTTTATTTTTTTCTCATTTTTGGGAAGTACGTCTAAATCAAAATCAGTGTGCTAGTGATGGATTTACCTCTGGACCAAATACATACATACATATACATACACATATACAGAGATACATAAACCTGCAAGAGTGTGCAAAAATTGAATCTTCTCATCATCTCTCATTTTCTTTTCCAGAAATGTTGACATAATGACTAGTCAATCCATTTGACAATGGTGCATTACAAGCTTTTTTGGTGTAGTGTAGTCTCTTGTGCCAATTTGATTTAGTATGGCCGACTCAAAATCCTGTTAAGGAGAAATCTGTTCTCTTTAGTCTGTTTTAGGAGGTGAACACACCAAGTCTTATTTTGCTAGAATGAACTGTATCTTTTGTCTCATAATTAGTTAATGTGAATCTGCAGCTACTACTCCTACAAAGCTTTTATGGATTTTGGATTTCCAGATATCTTCATCTCCCGTGAGGTAACCCTACTCTCTCTCTCTCTCTCTCTCTCTCTCTCTCATCTCAAGCTCTTGAAGAATGACCTATTGCCTTGAAATGTTTCGGAATTTGTAGTTATTGCAATTTTACTAGATTCTTATGGTTTCATGATAGTATTCGGTTGCACAAATGGTTGATAGTTTATGTGATAGCATAATTGATTTTCTAGTTTTCACTATTTTAAAACCTTGCACTAATGTTCATATTCCTTCCTGAGGCACTCTGTTGATAGCAAGTTATGACGTGTCAATTGAAAGAAAATTATAGTATTGTTCATCTTTCTCAGATGCAACCATATTTGTGTCAGTTTTTGTTACACTCTTGTTTAAGTGTGCAAAAAGAGAGATATTATGAACTTGATATACTTCCTGTCTGTGCAGTTTAAATACATTAATATAATAATATGAAGCAAAAAGAAATATTTGCATATGAAAAGATTGAGCATCTTTGGTTATTCTTTTCGTGTGATGTTTCTCAGTTGAACAGAACGATATTGAAAAAACAGGGAGCAATGAATTTAATGATCACTGAGAAAAGAATAAGGATGCAATGGATTTAGAAAATCCCTTAGATTTTTGTGGTGAAGCAAAAGTGGTTGGGCCATGAATAGAACAGAAACATTTAGAAATAAACAGGGAGCAACAAATTTAATGATGGTCACTGAAAAAAAAGGACACAAAGGATTTGGATATAGTTCCTTAGATTTCATTATGCTGAAGCATAAGTCGATGGACCATGAGTTGTTTGGTCCATCAGAATAAGGACTGTTGCGGTATATCTATGTTTGGGATCTAACAATATGACAAGGATTAGCTTATAGGAACACCATCACTATGCAGGTTTCCAGTATGCTGAAGTGAAATATAAGCTATATATAATCCACCACCACCTTGTGTACATGGTAACTTCCAGTTTTTTTTTTAGGTCACTAGACTTTTGACCTTGGCAGGTTTGGAGTTAATGTTTTTTATTTTTTTTTTATTTTGAAAGTGTGCTGTATCTTCAGGTGTCGTTATCTTCATTCTTCTCATAATATAGAATGAGAACATTATGAATGAACATGCTGTTATCGTCCAAGGTTGCCAAATTTTTTGTAGCAACAGCACTATGAGGAAATTTTATTGTGCTAAGAGGTTTTGGCTGAAGTCGAGAGAAAATGTATTAAGAATGTCAAACTAAGTCTATATATGCACGTCTCATTTGTGTGTTATTTAGAGGGTCAAAATAAGTAGGTTTATCACGACGTTTCAGCAATATCCTATATTTGACATTCTCAATATGCTTTTTAAGTTTTCAGTTGTTTTACCATTGGGATATGGTGACTCAAGCTGTAGATGGGTTCTTGATGTTATGCATATAGTTTAAAGATCATAGGATAGATGTTCTGAAAAAATGTTGTACAGAACTGTCAGGGAATTGTTATACCTTCAGTTAAATAGTTCAAATTTCCTTTACACCTTCATGAAGGTAAATATTGTCATCCGTGTCTTATATTTTCTTTTTAATTCTATTGCACTAAGGTATTATCTTATGATTCCTTTGATGAACATGATTTATTTCAGACATTTGGGTGGACCCCAGCGGAGGCAAAATTGCATATGGTTGATGACTATTTTAGTCAATCTGAGGTATTATCAAATGAAGAAACTTTATCAGTATGTGTACTTTAAGTTGGTGACTTCATGCCCTGAGTACTTGGATTGGTTTGCATGAGAGCTTGCAATGCCACTTCAAATTACGTAAACGATTGATTCTCTGCCTGTGCATACTATATAAATGATCTAGATATGAAAACAGTTGGTGAACAACTTGAAGGTGTCATACTTATTTCAAAATTGTATGATTGGATATAAGTTTTTAG